TAGTATAGGACAAAATGTAGTTAAAAAAATAACAAACGATGTTAGTTGAAGACGCTGAAAGAAATAAACATTAGATAACCGTGATACAACATGTCACCCAGCGAAGCTAAAGAAGACGACAAGTGAAGCTAATTAAGAAGATAATACCAAAATGAAAATATAAATTAATTAAGCATTTCCATTTTAGCACACTGTATTTTGAACTTGATTAGCTTCTAGTCTATTTCTTCTTTCTAACAAACTTTCTCAGCCTTAGAAAAAAAGCCGCTTGCATGGCTATAAGACACAAACGTTTTTAACCATCTCAGAGAATCAATTGTTCTCGGTAAAAGCGGTTCATTAAAATATTATCCAGTTTGATAATCCCCGACGCGACTGGATTTTGAACTCTGGAAAGGTGTATTAGTGGTCCCAAAGGTCTGGCTTTCATCTGCGATAACAAAAAAGAGGGCCGTTGTCCCGAAGACAGGACATCTGGAAACCCAAATTAAAGGCAGATATCATTTATTAAAAATCTACTGAACCGGTAAAAAAAATAAAACAAAAGAGTATCTCACATTATTCGAGATTGTTGCCAGGCCTTTGCAGTGATACAGGAGATGTACTGGGGTTTCCTCATGCTTTCTGCAAGAGCCTTGACAGTGTCATGTAGAAGACTTATTATGGCCTTCCAGTTGAATCCGAGTAGGTCCTCTGCAAATGCCAGCTTTCGTTCTATGATTTGATTTTCCGAGCTGAGATGTCGAGCGATGTGCACGTCTGTGAGCGATGCTCTGATAATTTCATAGTAAACGCTAAATATGTGCTGTGCAAAAGTTGCAAAAACGGTATCATAGTCAGTGTGTCTCAGTAAAAGATGATGTGCAAAAGTTATTGTTGAAGAACGGTAATTTGTGCTGGCTGTGTGATGTATGCAATTCAAATTTCAAGAGTGTGGCAGAAGATTCCAATGATAAACTGGACTTGTATGTGAAGGAAATAGACTGTTTAAAACGTGAGAAGCAGTTGCTGGAAAATTATTGAATGAGTTCGAGTTTTCAAATAATCTCTTAAAATCCAAATATAATATCGGAGAGAAATCCTCTGACACAAAAACAGTGGGAACTTCCTCCGTAAAAACGTCAGTGTTTTCGTACAGCAGTGCTCTGAAAAAAGAAAAAGAAGCAGCTGTTTTGCTAATTAAATCTAATGAAAACAAAGATGATATCGACGTTATTAAATCGATTAAGGACAGCATCAATCCAGCTGAAATAAAGGTATGTGTTAATGGTACACGGAAAACAAAGCAGGGTGCAGCCGTTTATTGCAGAAACAATGACGACCTGCAAAAATTGAAAATTGCGCTGAGGTCTAAATTAGGGGCGAAGTATCACATTAGTGAACCCGTAAAGTATAACCCTCGCATCCTTGTAAAAAACTTTGTGAGTGATGAAGAGCTGGACACGGATGCTAAACTAGTTGATAATATTGTTAAGCAGAATGGCATTGATGTAAATGATGCCAGCATGAAAGTTGTTACTATGCTGAAGATAAGTAGTGCCCATCATCTAATTTTGGAGCTTTCTCCACACGCCAGAAAGCAAATTATTGATAAAGGCTTCATATACGTTGGTTGGAGAAGATACAAGGTTGTTGATCATATCAACATAATTCAGTGCCATAAGTGTTGTGGTTTTGGTCACAGTGCAAAAAATTGTAGGGCTAATTCCGTGATTTGTCTAAAATGTTCAGGTAGTCATGTAGTGAAGGATTGTAAAGGTGATATGGAAAAATGTATAAATTGCCATAAACATAACGAAAAATTTCATACCAAGCATGGTACTACTCACAAAGCAAATGACAAAGAATGTCCAATGTATGCAACATATTTTCAAAATCTTAAAAGTAGAGTAAACTATGGCAGCTAGAGAATGTGTTTTGAAATTTGGCCACCTCAATGTACGATCTCTTATGTCGGACTTTGATGCAGCTGTCAACTTGGTAAATACTGATGACTTGGATATATTTGCAGTGACAGAGACGTGGCTCAACACTGACGTCACTGATAATTCTGTAAGTATCAATGGCTATGATCTCTTTCGTCGTGATAGGGAAGCGCGCGGAGGTGGTGTGGCAATTTACTTTAAGTCTGACTTGCGTGTTGAATTTTTAGACCTAGATGCGCAAGCAAGCAATTTGTTTGGAATGCTTGTGGGTAAAGATGACCATCAATAGGCGAATAATTGTTATAGGGGTGATGTATAGGCCGCCAGGGCAAAATATCAATGAATGTGTTAGGTTGTTGGATGCCCTTTTACCTGAGGTTTCGGGTAAGTTTGATAATGTAGTTGTAATGGGTGATCTAAATGTGATTTTTTGAAACAAAATAACATAATCTCTCCTTGTTTCAATTCAACTGGATTTGTCCAATTGGTTACCTCCCCAACCCGTGTAACGCAGCACGCAGCAACATTACTTGACCCTATATTTACCACCAACCCAGATATTTTTGGTGACTGTGTTGTACTTGATGCAGGTTCGGTATCTGATCATAAACTTGTCATGTGTCAGCTTAGGTTAAATAAATTCAAGAGAAAGCAAAATATTGTAACTTTCAGGGATTTTAAATGTTTTGATGATGCAGCATTCCTTAATGACCTCGCTAATTCCTCCGTCGATGATCTGTTTTTTTATCCCAACATTGACAGTAAAAGTTGACCATTTAACAAAATCCTAGTCGAATATTCAATAAACATGCTCCATCAGATCTGTACGTGTTTCTCTAAGCCACCTGCGCCATGGCTGACTGATGAAATAAAAAAAGGTATGCACGCTAAAGTTACTGCGTTAGCAAGATATAAGCAAGATAATAAGCTGCAATTAATTATGAAAACTATCGTCGCATGAGGAATAAAAGTCCTTATTGATATTCGAAAGGCAAAAAAAAGAATATCTGGCAGTACTTTCTGAGCAAAATGAATCGAGGAAGATTTGGTCAGGCATAAATAAACTTAATATAAGGTCTTGTAACAAATATACTTTGCCTGATAACATCAGTGATGTTAATCTGATAAACAGGTATTTCATGTCAGTTTATAATGTTGATAGTGTGCCGGAAAATGTGTGCGAGTTTTATAGAAGCAATAAACTAAATCCGTCTAATTCTTTCTTTGAGAATCTTAAGTCCTCAAGAGATCTTTGATATAGTAAAAGGTCTAAAATCAGACGCTAAAGGCCTTGATACGCTGTCAATTACAATGATCAAAGTTAGTTTACCAATAATATTTTATCATATTGTACACATAGTTAACACTTGCATTGAAAGAGGCTTGTTTCCCAAAGCCTGGAAGAATGCATTGATCTTACCAACGCCAAAAAACAATAAACCTACTGATGTTACTCATCTAAGACCCATAAGTTTGTTGCCTGTGTTGTCAAAAATACTGGAAAAAGCAGTTCAGTTTCAAGTAGAGTCTTTTATTGAATATAATGGCATCATTCCTTTAAATCAATCTGGATTTAGGAAATATCACAGCACAACCTCTGCATTATTAAATCTGTGCGACAACGTTATAAGAGCTATGGACAAAAAAATGGCGGTTTCCCTAGTTTCAATTGACTACTCCAAAGCATTCGACAAAATTAACCATGTGCTTTTACTTTCTAAGTTAAAGTACATTGGATTTGACAATATAGCTATCCAATTCTTCAAAAACTACCTCTCACACCGTATGCAGTGCGTTTCTGTAGGCAGCAGGCTATCAGAAGTCAGTATGATACCATCAGGAATCCCTCAGGGCTCCATACTAGGCCCTGTGTTATTTCTCATATACACTTTTGATTTGCACAAATCTGTCGCACATTCCGATTTACTAAGCTTTGCTGATGACACTCAACTCATTCATTATTTTGACGCCTCTTGTTCGCAGGATGCTGCTGCTTATTAGAGCGGATCTGAGCAACAGTGCAAAAATATTCCGTGACCTAATCTCCTTAATCCAGATCCGACTCCAATCTTACTATTTTGTCCGACGCGAGCGGAGGTCGTGGAGACTTAAAGTTCCCTTGATGGTTCGCTGCTGCAGCTTGCTAATTCAGCTACAATTTAGGTGTTGAAGAGTATAGCAAATTGCGAT